AAAAGAATTCAATAGCAAACAAAAATATGAATGAGCTTTGAATTACAGGAGTATGGAGCATACTTTTAGGTGCAGGTGCTATGGAGAGAAGCGCAAATACGAGTTAACAAGTTCCCTTCGATTTATGTTAGAGCAAATAGTAATCATAATATAATGCCATTATATTTGTACTTTTGCTATGCGAAGAAATCTTTTCTTTGCCCTAATACAACGCAGAAAGTCTGTAAGAAGTCAAAGGACATCACAGACATCGAAGGCAGTCAGCAACGACTGAAGAAAATCAAAATACTCTATAAAAATATTCGAGGGCATAAAGTCAAAGTTCAGATTAAAGACAAGCAACCGGCTTTAAATGTGAATACACATACATTTATAATTACATACTTACGTACACACAAAGATATGTGCATATTATAAAAATAAAAGCATAAACGTAAGACATTACGAAACGTTTCCCCCTTTCGTGGAAAAGCATTCGTTTGCTTTATGGTCAACAAGTTGAGCGTCGCCAAGCCTTTGCAAATGCAATCAATTTGTATGTATGTAAACATACATATGTATATATATGTGAGTACACACAAACATCTACGAGCACATATTGAAATTTGTTGCTTTATTTGCCTGAATTGAGTTGATAGCATCAAAGGATTTTTTTAATGTGTTTTGAAATATTTTTCTTCCGGGTGAAGGAAATGGAAGAAGTCGTCCTTTTTCACCCGTTTTTTTTTTATTGCTTTTGCAATTTTATAGCCATTAAAATTCCGCTCCTCTGTATTGGTATTTTGGTTGATAGCAGCAGCGGCTGTCAAGCGCAGCCTACGCCAAGTGCTGGTATTCACACAGTTTGGTGGCGCAAAAAGGCTGAAGACAAAGGCTGGGTGAAAAAAAATGCGCCTGGTTTCACTTACATATATGTAGTATGTATGTGGACACATGTGAATCTTTTATAGCCTGGTGTGAGTAAGTGTGGCAGAATGCGCCAACTTGCAAATAAGCAGAAACATAAATCATTCTAATTTTTTCAAACGATAAGCAAATTATTTTAAAAAAAGGACTAAGAATGTATGCATTTATCGGGTTATGCATTTGAGTTGATTTTTTTTTTTTTTTGTTGAGGCTAAATTGCTTTTATTTTTTTTTTACAGGCCACGTGACCAGCACACGTGCAGTATTTGCTTGTATTGCTGAGCAATAAGGCAAAAAAAAAATCCTTTTGTCTTTAGTTATTTGTAACAACAAATGTAGATATATTAGGTTGCAACACTCTCCGTGCAAAAAAAAATTGGTACGGTTTCTCCATCGCAATTATAAAATCTATTATATTTTAATACCTATTCCAAAATATTTCCGAAAAGTATTAAGATTTACCTGAGTTTGATCGATACCTTCAAAAGTCGAATTTTTTATAAATAAAATTAGTTTGTAAAAATATTTTCTTTAAAAAGTCAATTGTTAAAAAGTCAAGATGTTAAAAGAGTTTAAGCGTACAAGATCTGCATAAAAATGTTTAAACATTTTATCAACGGAAACAAAATAATGAGATTTTTGGAAGTATTTTCATCAGTCCAACTGACGTAAATATTAACATATGTATATATAAAAATATTTTGACAGAAGTCTTGAAATATATTAACTCTTATTATGCCGGTGGAAAACCCCCAACTATTATTAGCGAGGCACCCTAATGTATGTGTATATATTTATACAATTTGGTTTTCTTTCTACATTCATTCAAGGTAAAATCAAAGCAAAGGTTTTATGTTATTTTTTAACAGAAATATTGCGGAAATTGTTGAAGTTTATTTTTCCGTCCAAAAAGTACCAAACGATGTCGAAAAAAGTCGAAGTTCGAAAAATCAAACAAGTAGCATCTCTAAAAGTCCTGAAATTTATAAAAAACAGAGGCACACCGAAAAATTCCAAACAAATAGTGAGTCCCAAAAAACCACGAAGAATCCCAGTCCCGAAAAAAATACCGAACTGATATTGAAGATTTGCGCAGCATTTCATTTTACTACTAAGCTAAGTTTTTTTATTTATTTTAGTCCTAAAAAACCCAAACCATGCGTGCAAAATCCCGATAAGTCTCGAAAAAATTCGGCAAAGCCACGAAAAAGTCGCGTCAATTGCCGAAGAAACTCCGAGAACTCATGAATAATTTCATTTTAATACCAAGCTTAACTAGCAGCTTTTCATGTTCTTGTTAGAAAAGTCCTGAAATATACCGAAAAATTTCGAAAACGTTCCGAAAAGTCCCACTGATCTCGAAAAAGTTCCGAAAAATTCTAAAAAATCTTGAAAAATTCTGAAAAAATCTCGCAAAGTCACGAAAATATCCCCAAAAAATTCAAATTCAAAAAAAGAAAAAAATCTCGTATAATGGCGCATAATCCCGAAGTTAAGCGAAAAATTCCCGAAAAGTGAAAAATCAGTACGAAAACTTTTTCATTTCAATTCTTTCAGTGATTGTAAAACCTAAAAACCAAATTTGCTTTTCAAACCCTGGTATATAGCCTTTTCTGAAACCTTAAATATAACTAGACAAGTTAATTGAATATCTTATATGTAAATTCACGTCGATGCCTACAACTCT